AAAAAGGTACTATTTTAAAGTTGCATTTATCTGCAATTGACATTTTCGACATAATTAACTAATCCCGATGCCAATAACCGTCTCAGGAGGCTACAAATATCATCATTTTTTACCCATCCTCTCACATTGCCTCGAAGACCCAGCCCAGCGCCTTCTCAAAGGCCCACTGTCTCGACGACCCGTCGTCTTGTGGCTCGACGGCCTGTCAACGGTCTGCCATCGTCTCCAGGGAACCCGAGTCTCTATCTCAGTCTCAGACTGAACAGTCTGGGTCGGCGGCGGCCACTTGTTACCACCGGGCCGAGTCTAACCACCCCCAAAGGGCGCTGGCCGGCGCGGGGACTCTGTAAACAGAGTCCCCGCGCCGACAGGCGCGGGGACTCTGTTGACAGGCGCCTGGTGACACGGACGGGTACTCGGAGACGACCCACGCACCCAGTCGCGGACTTCCCGCCGCCAGACGACACATCGGCGTCAGAAACGCCGCCAGTAATAGCATATTCAGATCTTACGTATGCCGGACCTTTTACTATTTTCGTATTATTTAATTATTTTTTGTTACTACAAGCTGTTCATTGCCTAATGGCTATGCCGCTACGGCCACTACATCCATTGAATAAAAACGAATCAGTCAGATGACCACGCAAATATTGACCTACTTCAATCATACAACATTTGATGTACGCTTATTATGCGTGAAAACTGAGCATGATTTGAGAATCGGTCACTTTATGGCGTAACCCTAATTGTCAATGTCGGCCTCAACCCTATTGCTGAGATGGACTGACGAATGAGATCGATTCACCAGCTGTCTGTTGCACTTAATAAAAAGCACATTGCTCGTTTTTCATATTTTACACGCGGTGCAGCTCCGAGGCTAAGGCTTCGTGAAGACGCGTCGAGCATGCTGACGGGCACGAGACGGCCGGTGCCGGACGTGCCTGTATAGACACAGTGAAAGCTGTAGGGGTTCAGGATACGCCTGTGCACAGGTGGATCAAGGTACTTCCCTGCTGACGTAATTCCACCGACGGCAGGCCTCCGGACGCCGCTGAGCCCGGCGACGCCGCGCTAAAAGTACCCCATCAATAAGTGTGAGCAGCTGTAGTAGGCAACTATATACCTCCCCGAAAAGAGATTTACCCGTTAAGGATGGCAATCAATTTAATGAACTACTATCGTGTTGATAGCAATACCCCCAAATGCATTTATCATGTCCTGTGCAATGTGCATAATACATACTTATGCGTAACATAAATGTGGCATATACCTAAAGGTTCTTTCAATGTTATCGTTTCTTTTCCATACCGTTGAAACACTATTTGTCTCAAATGTTATCATTTATTTGGATGAGCAAATAACAGCAGATGTCAAATCATACTGAAGTGTCCCGCTCCTACGCCTATTACACGAAGCATTGCTATCGCGTAGTTCTCAGCAAGATGTAAACACTAAACAGCGCGCATCATCGAGCCCGATTTAGAACAGCGGATGTTCTGCCAGCGTAATGATATTGGCTGCCAGAGCTGCAATGAATTGGGTCGAGTTCATCATTCAGGCAACAGGCCGAGTGATCTTTAGGCTCGGCTCATCGTCAAACTACTGCGCGTAACACCCGATTATTCATAGACACCGAAAACGAGGAAATGAGGATTCGTCCATAGATTACAACTTGTTACATAAGTTAAATCAATTGATACAAGATCGACAAGTAATACAGTTGTGTAAATAAATATTACTGCAGCATTAAGGACACACCATAAAGGGTTGACTTCAAATCAGTTGTTTGCACCGTCCACACCGATAAACGTAGACACTACATAGGTACATATAATAGTTGTTGGTTTGGGTGTGCTGCCCGGTCAGCTCGTGAGTCGGCTTCTATTGAGCCACAGCACTCGTTCGCATCCACAATAAGATCACGTTCTTAGTTCAGACACCAATAACTAGATAACTTAGTCAGCTGAAAGAGTTGATTAGGTGATAATCACCTACTAAAAACGAGAGGTAGTGTGAATAATGGATATGGTTCAGGTGTTCGTCAGCATGCAGGTCCGGATGGGGGTGTTGACCGCCGCGGCCCGCGCCGGCTGTGCCGCCGTGCCGTGCCGCACCGCCGCGCTGCTGTGTCGCTGTGCCGCCGTGAAACTGTGCCGTGCCGTGCCGTGCCGTGCCGCTGAGAAGGTTAGCTGGTGTAGCTGTGTAGCTGTGCTGCTGTGCGGCCGTGCCGCTGTGAAGGTCAGCTGCTGGGGCTGTTTATTTGGCGAGCTGACCGGCTGTTTGTCGACCAGCCCTCGTACGAGTGGCGTCACCGGTACGTCCGTGAGACTACGCCTCTACGCCGGCCACGGTCGGCGACCTCGACGGCCCGCGCGGTCTCGGATGGATCGGCGGACAAAGATCTGTGAGGATCGGATCGATCTTGTCGGTTTTTGGAACTGATGATACCGTTGGGCGGTACTGTAGGTTGTGTCAAGTTATGACGTCAACACTACCAGTAAAACGCCTTTTGGGCGAAGAACGAGCGAGCGAGATAGTGAGCCCTGCACGTGCGGAAGGGCGAGAGGGTACTTCCAACGGGCTTGTGCAAAGCACCCTTCTAACCGGTCGCTAGCGGTGTGCCAAATTTGAACACAATCGGCCCAGCCGTTCCTGAGATCTGGAAGCGGCATTTTGCACGTGCGCACGTGCAAACAGGGTCCAAAATGACTTTTGCACGGCACCCTACTAACCGGTCCCCAGCCATGTACCAAATTTGAGCGCAATCGGCCCAGCCGTTCTCGAGATCTGGAAACGCCCCTTGCACGTGCGCACGTGCAGTAGCACCCTAACCCCAACACATGGGAATGCATTGCCTGGTGGGTGCCTACCTGTATGCCAAGTTTCAGCGAAATCGACCCAGTAATTACCGAGTTACTGAAATGGGAACAAATTTGGCACCTCTTCTTTTTGTATTTTGCACGTGCAGTGGGGGTCACTCACATAGATCAAGAGTATCCGACCTTTGGTAGAAGGGATGCCGCTACCCTATAAAAATTACCGCAAGACAATCGCTCAAGCCGCTGCTGAGATATGGGCCTCTCAAAATCATTACTTTTGCAAAACAGCTTGAACACCCTCGACTTTTCACGTGGCACGTGCCACGACGGTCACTGGGATGTATCAAAAGTAGTCAATTACGGGGTAGAAGGGATGGGGCTACCCAGCAAAAAAGACTGCAGGCCAATCGGTCCAGCGGTTGCTGAGATATAAGCCTCTCAAAAGCGTTACAGGCCGGGCCGGGCCGGGCCGGGCCGGGCCGGGCCGCTCATACTGAGATTTTTCCGTTATATTGAAAAGACTTCGCTTCGCTCGCTGCGCTCGCTCGCTCGTAATCAGTTACGCACACTCGGTTCTGTCAGCTGCAGTTATGCACAGTGAGGGACGCCAGCACCGGCAGATGTGTACCGAGTCGCGGACATCGCCCGACCGCCGCCGCCGCGCTGGCCTTGTGTTCACCGACCAGTCATGTCGCTGACACGAGCCAAACGTCGCGCAGGACAAACACTCAAACCTGGCCGTCATTCGAGCATCATCATCAGATTAGCGCCCTCGGCCGTGGTCCCCGTGCCCAGCCAGCAGCGGGCGGACTTTGTGCTTAGCTCGGCCGGCTCCATGCCAACGAGCTGCAGCCAGCGCGCTGCCTCCGAATAGCAGAGATAATATCACTTCTAAGTATAAAGGCCCCATCAAAAATGTTGAGCTCAATGACGCTAAACAGATGCTTCATAGCATTGGGACAGCAGCAAACAAGTGAGCATGGTGTAACAAACATGGGTTTTGATTTAGTTCAAACATGGAGAACGGAAAACCTAACGACTTCCTCTCCATCATGATCCAGTGCAATTTTCACTCACGGTACGATTAGTGTTTCTGGAAACGTGATCATCATAGTGATCGTGAGAGGCAGCCATCAACCCAAGAAATGTGTCGCATTATTTCGTCAAAATAGTATCATTTGAGGCACGCAGGAATGCCATCTTGCATTTGCTTAAATTTGCCAGTGCAATCACAAATAGGAACGCCGATGACCAAGGCCTACGGACGTCGAACCTCCATATCGCTGAAAAGACGATCTATGTAGGTATACCAAATAACCCGGATATACAATGAGCATACGGTGAATTCCTCTCCGTCTGATATGATCCTCGATGCCCCTGTTATAAGAGGAGCATCGATACAATAATCAATTATCGGTACAATAATCACCCAAATAGGCACAACTCGAGACCAATAAACTTACAAGTGATACGTTTACAGTATTCTAAAAAATACAATTTTGCTCTGCAGTGGAGTACCTACATCATGAAGTAGTACCTGTCATCATGTAATCATCATGAAGATAATATGCTTATGAGAATAATATGCGATATTTCAAGCACAACAAGCTCTCAAGCAGAATCTCCAGGATTGAGATTTCTTGGTATTATTTCGAATTATACTAATGTTTTACGATTACTGTCACATATGTAAGTACATCAGCCAATTGACTAAGTTTGTACCATCTGTTGCCATCGGGACAAATGTCGGAATGGACTATGGCTGAGCCGGCTCCCATGGAATTTGACCCCGGGTCGTTGGCAGGCGGTGTCCCAAACGGTGGCCACAGCGCAGCTATTTTAGGAATGTTCCTGTGAGTACTTAGTCAGCAACCATGCGAGACCGTCCTGTAGGGACACATCGCGACTAAGCGGGGCAGGTCGCGCCCTGTCAGCCCTGAGACAGACCAGCCCTCGGGCAGAGCTGAGTTTTCAGCTCCAAACTCGGGGCAGGACGACCCCGCCGCAGGCCAGACCTCGCAGGTTGCTCCGAGTGGTTTATCAGGTCCGACCCCAACATGATCAGCAGTCTGTCCAACCGCCAAGTCGGATCCAAGGGACCTCACTCGCTGGTCCGTCAGGCCGGACTCCATGGGTTGCACAGCAGCCCGTCCCGTCTCATCCTGTGGCTCGTGTACTCACCCTGCAGTTTTCCGTGTCCGATGCGCCGCACCAGCTTCCCGAGTGGGTCGAACACGCACAGACAGCGGTTCTCATAGTCTGAGACGACGTAGTTGCCGTCGGGGGTGGACGCCACGCCGCAGGGTCTCTGCATCTGGCCCGCCGCCCGACCCCGCACTCCGAACCTGCAGCGGACGCCGGTGTGCGATATGAGTCACTGTCCTCGACTGATAGTGGCACGGGCGCCAATACTGGCACTGACATAGACACCTTTTAATCAGAGGACTGAAATGCTTTCGGGTTTAACCAATTGAACACAAGTATGGAAAAAGTCCTGCAAGGTAAAAGATCAACAGTCCAAAGTGTACGACAGCGAACGTAAGATTTGGTAAAATTGGTATACACACTGCGAGCAGGGAAAAGAAGTAGACTACTTCACGAGTATTTGCATACAGCACACATTCTTATCAAACGTCATTATCCATTAACGGATTACACTTAATGTCAGCAATAGGATTTTCAGATGAAGCTCAGAGTACAATTTATTAGCGCAGTATGCATCCATAGCGCGACATTATATAAATGAGCAACTGTGTTTGTTTGAAGAGCTGAGTACCTACCTCTAGGAGCAGAGGATTTCGCCTTTTCGGAAACGCTGGCGCACGAACGTTGTACGAAATGCGTCTTTCATAATGTTCAGGACATGGATCTAGAACACTTTTGTTTTAATTTAGTCCTACAGACAAAGTAACGAAGCTATGGCACCAATCGTATCCAAAAAATATCTCACGTGTACATCAGTGCATCTAAGTGCTGGCTACATTCCAACATCCCATGCAGGGATATGTATGGTGGTAAATTACCTGAGTTTGCATTCTCCCTCAGCCGAGAACACCTGCACACACTGGTTGTTAGAGTCAGCTACCAGAAGGCGGTCCGCTGCAGCCACGTAACACACGCCCTGTGGAAGGCGAGAGGGGTCGGTCAGAGGCTACAGACAGGTCATAACCTAAACCAATGAACTGCGAGAGCTGAATAGGGGTCACTCAGAGGCTACTGACAGTCACAGGAATCAGAACCAATGAACTGCGAGAGGCGAGCATGGCCAGAGGCCAACAATCTGAATGCATTTCCCCCGTCCGGTTTAAGGTTCGTGCCTATCACCCGCCTCCTTCCCATTATGTACGGCCATGTGAACTCGTATTATTTGGTTGGAGCGGGGTCTACATACAATATTGTCCAGTAGGACCAAAGCGAGGTCGTATGGGATCATTCAGTAGAGTCATGGTGAAACCGTAAGACCACCCAGTAGGGTCGGAGCGAGTCCTAGGATCACCTAGTAGGGTCAGGGCGGGGCCGAAGGATCACCCAGAAGGGGGGTCAGGGTGGGGCCGTAAGGCCACATAACAGGGCCAGAGCACTCGGTCCCCACCGCCCACGTCAGATCCGGCCCTTAATCACAGCTGTCTGTTGCCATGGGTCATCTCCCCGCCCGGCCGGCCACCAAACCGAAGTCCACGCCGCGCCTCGAGAGGGGTCATCGGGTACAAATGCAGACCAACGAAATATGACGGCTGGCCCACGAGACTGAAAAACAAGCTGACCAGGGAACCAGAGGGAAGCAAACAGGGCACCGTTATTTTGTAACTGACACACAGTATCGTTCTTTGGAAGAAAACCCAAACATTTCCTTGCTTGCAGCGTGGCTGTACGATCTTCAGCATCTGACTGGGATACTGCATTCATGCCAATGATGCTTGATTAGGTGGTAGATGTGCGACGTTACGTGAAGTTGGACAATAAATCATAAATGGAGCAGAGCAGTTATTGGTGGTAAGGTAAATAGACCGTCACTACACATAATTAAACTATCCTACTGAAATGGATATCCAATGAAGACGTCTTACAAGCCATGAAAGGACAAGGCTTATATAATATAAACGTGGATAGAATACCTAGCACAAAGGGCAGCAAAATTAATATGAAATGCAATAAAACGGACAGAGCAGGTGTTTATTGCTTTATGACCTACTGCTTCATACGCCGAGAATTATGACCTTTCACAAGCTCTTTCAGTGTCCTGCAGTGCTTCAAAAGATCTAATTAAATTCTGTGGAATTGACATTTCAAGTACGGTACCGGCGTTCATGATAGGAAACAAATTTCAAACGAAGAAGTGGGCAGCTGCTAATATCAGTTCGAGGAGACTAGAGCATGGCAGTCGTTTTGTATAGGCCTGGTGGGACCCGAGCTCTGATTTTTGCCTTTGAACATAAGCCCTATGTTGTGGTGTGGCAAGGATGCCTTTTGTAGCCTGAAATTAACCCGCACCCCACTGGGCTGTTCAGTCGAACGCACCCTGGGCGGCGGGGGGGGGGCAGATTCTGCCTCTGTCTAACTTCCGGACGGATGGCTGTAGAAAGACGGAGAAAACGACACCCGAAAGCTCTTAACAAGACGGGTCTTTGGAGCACAACGTTTTTGCTAATTAGGTCACAGGTCAGGTCAAGGACATGTCAAGGGTAAAACTGCATGTTTCCACATTTTTAGTAGTGTCCTTTTCCGCGTAGGTTGAAAAGAGTTAAAGCAAATCACTTTTTATTGATATTTTAAGCACAGCTCTTCATCAGAATAGCAAATTTGAAAAATGTGATTTTTTAACTTGCTATCCTAATGAAGAGCTGTGCTCGAAACATCAATAAAAAGTGATTTGCTTTTACTTTTTTAACCTACGAGGATAAGGCCACTAAACTAAAATGGTTTAATATAATCCTCGTACTAGCACTGAGAAACTTAAATAGCATGTTCCCACATTACTGACTTTGGTGCGCAATTGGCGAAAATGGACTGAGACTGCAGATCACCCAGAACGCGATGCTAGGTTACCAAGATAAGATGCATGGCAAAGAAGGTCATAACAAGGTCAAGGTCAGATAAGGTCTACAAAGATGAGCTACTGAATAGGTGATATGCAACACACGTTTTATGGGTAATTTTATTCCTAGAACTCGATGAACATACTCAATTAGTTATATGGACTATATCTGGATGAGGTGCAGGTCAAGGTCAGGACAGGGTCACGTCAAGCGATGTCAAATTTTTAAAGTTAGTAAAAAAAAACAGAAAAGCTGTTGACCTGATGCAGTTTTTCTCGACGAATCAAAAGGTGCTGTTTTTATTCAGAAAAGAATACTAGAAAAGGTGTTGATCTGATGCAGTTTTTCACGACGAATCAAAAAGTGCTGTTTTATTCCTGTACAATATCTATACATAAAACTTATTAAATAAAAACATTTTTGAAACTTGTGTGTGTCGTGACGTCACTAATCTCGAAAGCATTTTAAAGATAACTATGGAAAGTATTTTGCGGCATGTCAGTTGCCACCGTATATACAAAATAGATAAAATACCTAGGATACCAATATTAGATATTGTGGTTGTCACGGACAATGGAAACTAACTTTTTATCAGTTGCAAGTTACGCGAAGATTGAAATCGAAATGGAATCTGAATTACTTTTTGAGAATCCAAGGGCAACATTCCATGTTCCTGGAGCAGTTTGAAAGAAGAACTAAACTAACAGTGCCTTGGCATGTCAGTTGGCAGCTAAAGACGAAAGAGCCGTCGCACGTTCAGTATCGCATTGTTACCTGTATGCGCTGCATGCGGCAACGTTACACCTCCGCCCCCAGGTGGCAGCAGCGGTAGGCGCCTGGAAGGATACTGCACCGCAATACGCACAGACTCGCGGATAGGTACTGCACCGCAATACCCATTGATTGGCGAATCCTGGGCATCAGCACACATGGACTTGTGGAGGATACTGTGCCGCAATGGGCATGGACTCGCGAAGGATATTGCGCTGCAGAACCGGTGGTCAAGGACTGACACTGCGTCGCCCCGTCGGCATCCTGAGAAACAAAGCAAGCTTATGTTGTATTTCAACCACATCGGCTGGGAAACTCGTCTTCCGGAACGATGAGCGCACTAAGCTGAGCGTTACTGAGCAACACTACATGGATAAAATCAATCGAATACATTCACAAGCGTACGATGCCAATCAACCGCAGTGCGTGTAGCCAAACCGTAATAAAAAGTGAGAAACAAACATCTCCCCAGTGATTAGCCGTCATCGCGTTTGATATAAACCACTCTCCCTGTGCGCATTCGTGTCGAGCCAAAATTGTTGAGTCATGTATTTTCATGCCCAGGATATCACATACACAAATGATAAATTTTGGGTCACCAAACAGCTGAGCGCGTCGCGCCAATATCGGGCAGTGACTCTGGATTGGCGCCGGCACCGCAGGGGACACGTGCCGCGCCACGGGGATTGGTCACGTGGACTTGCACGTGTGTGTACGTCAGTAGCTTCCTTAAACGATCGCGTGCTTCATATGAGGAGAGCAACAAAGACAGGGATAGACAGTCATGAGAGAGCTGGTGGGACGGAAGGACAGACTGATAGGCATAGAAAAGAAACCGGCGATGTAATATTGAAAAAGGTGAAAGGAGAGAGAAAGAGTGTGAAAGAGAAAGGGGAAGAGAGGGAGAGGGAGCTATGAAAGAGAGAAAAGAAATCGGCAGAGGGAGGGGGAATCGTGCAAGTGAGGATGAAGCGGCAGTTGGTGCAGGATCTGCGCTCAGCTCGCGCCCCGTTCAGCACACGCTGCACAGCTGAGTCGCACCGCGCTCCCGCGGTACACCGGCCTGCCGTGCTGCTCCATGAGCCACCAGGGAGATGGGGGCTCCCGGAATCCGGTGATCGATGCGATACCAATCGGGCGTGGTCTGGGGGCACGCGGCTAAAACGGGTACGGCTGACGGCTCAGCCAGACATACCGATCACCGACAACACCGGGACACCGACAGCCGGCCCAAAGGTAACACCTGTAGGCGCCATATGGATTGATGAATATTTCTGGAGGCTAAATGAAGACAAAAAATAAATTACTTAAACAAGGCCACAAAATCTGTTGCAGTTAAAATGTCAACATTGATTGAGCTCGATCTCTTGCATATGACGTAAATAAAACATCTAGAAAAACATTCTTGCTCTAGAATTAAACACAGAAGTGAGCATTATAAGAGCTAACCAAAAACGTACAATGGGGATATATAGTTCAGATTGGCCGTTTTCACGACGGAATAGCAGGCATCTATTTAATCCCCATTTGATCCTTTGGTTCCTCAGGAATTTTAGTAGTTCTTTTTAGTAGGTTCCCCAGCTTTCGAATGAATGGTGCGTTAGTTTGCTATTTTTCTATTAAATATCACATCGATTTACTTTATCTAAGGATTTATCACTAATATCAACATAAAGCGTAAGCACAATTATAAAATTATGAAATTATTAAATACTAGTACAATAGTTAAAAAAAGATACTGAGTTGCCAGGCTACAAAGAATATATTCATTTATGGCGCACGACAGACATTTAGAAAGCAGCGCCCTGTTTTATTGCACGCTGCTAGCCGCTTCCATTGGGTTTTGCAGGCCGACGTCATTGGTCGTTACACGTATGATGTCACGCGACTTGTGGCCTGTCACGGCTCTTTAATGATCTCCACTAAATGAATGCAACAATGGCCTTTTAAGTTGATCTCTGTGGCCATCTGTCTATGGAGCGACCAATATGAAAGTTGGGTGAATTTACCGGGGTTACATGACTATGAGCAAGCAAATGTGTATCAGGAATGGATTTAGGTGGAGAATTGCGCTGGACCATGAGTGCTCGAACGCTCCCAATTCCACGCCGGTTTGGCTTTGGAGCCGAGACAGACGATGCGGGTCAAGGTCACCGTTGGGGTAACGGTGGATTGGCTGCGCCCGAGCACCCGTAACGCGGCACAATTCTCCATCTATGGATTTTCCTATTCGCTCAGCATTGTGATAGGCGTTCGTAATAGCATTTACTCTGCTCATGCACCTATCCCCGGTTATTTAAAAGAAGTTTTTGTG